ACTGTATGGGAGAGTGAAGGGAAAAAAATGATTTCATTTGTTTATAAAATTTTGTTAAAATGGTATACAGAGGATGAAACGGTAAAAGAACAAATGCTTAAATGGGCTATTAATATGAATAAGGAGATAACAATTGATTCATGGGAATATCTGGAAAAATTCTATTAAAATATCGACATGTACTAATGTTAGAGAGAATTGTTATAAAATGATGTACAGGTGGTACATGACACCCAAAAAGATAGCAAATATGAATCAAAATATGTCAAGTAAATGTTGGAAATGTAAAAAACATGAAGGGTCATTTTATCATATGTGGTGGACTTGTGAAAAAGCTATGGACTTTTGGACTAAAGTACATAGCGAAATGCAAAAAATTTTGAAATCCTCATTTAAAAAGACTCCCGAAACTCTATTACTAGGGCTTAAAATGGAAGAAATAAATGCAAAAAAAACCCCTCTGCTTTGGTACTTAATAACAACAGCAAGAATGGTCTACGCTGGAAGCAAGAGAGAATACCGGAAATAGAAGAATGGATACGCAAAGTTCTGTTCATGGCAGAAATGGATAAAATCACGAAAGAACTGAACAACAAAGAAGACCAAGCATTTTTTGAAGAATGGAATGACTTTAAAATATACTTAGAGAAAAACTGGGATGTAAAGCAAAATTTACTATGTTTAGAACAATATTGAGTTAAACTATGTTATCTTGAATTATATTGCAACTTTAAAAAAAGGGGGGGGAACGTATTGCGGGAAGCCACCGGAGGGAGTAGGGAGGAGGGAATAAGGGTTCTTTTGGTTAAACAGAATTGTGTTGAATTTCCGAAAAAAATAAAAGTTTTTAACCAAAAAAAAAAAAAAAATTGCTGGGTAAGGAGGGGGGGGGGGCCTTCTGGAGCCTGGGATACCCTGGGATAGGGGGGGGGGGGCTCCTACGCTGTAGCTCTTCAGTGGCTGCACTACGCTTAAATACTAGATATTCCAGGAAAAAAGGAGGGTTACTTAAGAACCGCCCTGCTGGACAAGGCCAAAGGGGCGTATAACCATTCCTACAGCAGTCCCCTGGATGTCTTCAGGCCTCCCTATCAGGTGGAAATGGGTTTGAGTGCTTCCCGTGGAGCTGTTCTACCTTGCAGGGGTGGCCTGCTGTGGGTAGTCCCACCAGTTAACACTGCCACCCAAGGGCAAGTGGCTTCTGCCAAATCACACAGCACCCTCTGTTGTGGTGACGGGAATCAGTCCTCACCCCAAGAAGTTGGATTCTGTGCCATTGAAGAGATTCCCACTGAAACTGTCAGCCCAGTAAAGAGAGAGTCAGGTTCTCAGTTGAGGCACCGTTTGTTTGAGCCACAACAGGAGAGAGAAAGCACTCTAGACACCTCCCGTTTCCCCAAGAGGCAAGCAACCAACTCCTTCCCAAAGGCTAAGTCCCTTCCAGCCCTTTGAGGCAGGAAACCATCTGCCAAAGAAAAGCACAAACACACATGGAAAAGCCAGGAATACCTGTCTACTCAAGGTGCCCCGATGCCCGAGTTTCTCCAAGGCCGGCCAGCACCATCTCCCCCCGTCCCCAGGGAAGAGGGTTGACAGTAATGAGAACCCTCTGCTGCCAGACTAACTTTCCCACATTTACATTACAACACCCTGGGCATACTGAACACGTGCATATCTGCACGCTTGCTGCGTATCTACTGTGTGTTGGTGGTCGTTTCGGGAGGATGGAACAGGAGAGAGTCTTCTGGAGTCTTATCTGGACTTTTTGACACTGCGTGTTCCTCTGGGACGGGCTTCCCGAGGAGCCTACGCTGCTGTAGCCATGACTTTGAGGCCCGATCATCAGTCTTCTGGCTCTCTCTTGCTGGCAATAAAATACCCTTCTTTCCAGAGAGACAGGCTGACTCTGTGCTTCTAGGAAAGGCAGAACTGCCTGGATGATTCAGACGTGGTTGTGCTTTAGGCAATAGAGAGGCCTAGCTAAGGTGCAGAGGAGAACTCAGAAATAGCAAAAAAATGACCTTGAGAAAGGTGCCCCTACACTGCAAGGCTGGTTTTCTCATCTGTCATTACCGCCCCCCCCCGAAATGTCACCTTTTCCAAAAACTCTGGGGCCCCCTTTGAACTGTGGGGTTCACGTGGTGAACTCCTGGCTTCTGTCCTCCCCCTGGGAAAACATGTGTTTTGGGGAGGCTGAAAACCAGCTCCTCTTGGCTCTGTTGCCAAGTGGAAGGAAACTCTCAGTGCAGATATCTTGACAACCTCTTGTATTTAATGGTCAAGGGCAAAGAATCGAAAAAGCACACTAAGTCAAATGGGAACGGGGGGGGACACACACACAATATTTTGCCACTTTCGCGCTTAAAATACATATAGGGAATTTGGGGAGGGGAAGGATAGACAGAAAATAAAGACAGCTCTACGGGAGGGCGTGGCAGGGATAAGGTGTGACCAACATCTCAGTTTGGGAGGGAGAATGATCAGATAACTGAAATGCACACCCAATCCTGGGCAGTGCCTGATCGGTGCCTTGGCTTCTTGCCTGGGCGATGATTGACTTTCTTCCAGGAGCAGCTGTCGAGGAGACAGATGGGGAATTCCAGGGGTTCTCTTTGGAAAAAGTCAAGAATGAAGATACCGACGGACACTTTGGAGATGGAGATGGAGATGGACCCCAGGGGCAGGAGGGAAGCCAAGCAGGCAAGAGGAGGGATAAGCCCATTCCTTACTGAGGAGGGGGCTTCCGTGAAATCCCAGTCCAAAAAGAAGGGTCAATCAAAAAGAGAAGGGACAAAGGCCTCCATCCTAACCAGAGAATCCACTCCGGGGAAACTGAGAGTGTGGCCTTGGCAAAGACCTTCACTCAGAGAAGGAACATCATTTTGCAGACACAAATTCCCTTAGGGGAGAAACCGTGTAATTGCTTGCAGTGTGGAAAGAGCTTCATTCAAAAAAGAGCTCTTTCTTCACTTCAAAAAAGTCACACAGTTGGGGGACCATATAAACGGTGATAGTGTAAACCAAACATCTCTCCTGCAGGAGGCTTTTTTTTTTTAATTGAACTCTCCTAAAAAGGAGAGAATTTTATTGCTTTTAATTTTCAGAAAGGGGAAGGGTATATAGCGGGATAAAGAATAGAGTGAGTGATGTTATTATTTGGCAAATTTATCAATTATTAGTATATTAACTTCTTTGGCTTCTTCTGCGGTTGACCGATTGTCCTTCATCTTCACCTGTAAAAAATAAAATTGTTAGTTATGTTAGTATTGTCCTTTGGGGTTATTGTTAATAATGTCTTTTAGTGCGCTTCACGAACAAATCTTCACTGTCTTCCTTTTACATCTCTCAAATTGTATGATGGCCCCTTCGCTCCCTTGTCTTCCGAGTCTTTGTCCCCATCTTCTGAATCGCTGTCATCGTTGCCACTCAATTCTTCCCATTTAGCGAGTTCTGCCTCTTCCTCTGTACTGGCGTGTCTCTTCAAAAAGTCTTGAGCTTTGAATATGGAGTCAATCCTCTCCCTTTTATCTTGAAATTTAAAAGTTAGTCCTTCTGGAATCAACCACCTGTAATTAATTTGATGGTTTTGCAAGAATGTGGTCAGTCCTTTGCATGCCTTCTGCTTCATTCGAATTTCAAATGGCACATCTTTTAGAATTCTAATTTTCTGCTCTCCAATTTTCAAAGGTGATGATGATGTTGCTCTCAGAATCTGATCTCTTGTCCGTTGACTACCACTTCTGCCGGCAAATTGTTTTTCTTTGTAAAGTTAGAATAGGGCCACGTCCATCTCTGCACTCAATTTATTTGCTTCAATGCCAGTCAGTGGTGCCAAAGCATCCGCCAAAATACTTCTGAGATCTTCCTTATCAATTTCTTTAATGCCTTGAAGTCGGAGAGTTAAATTTGATTTTTCCATCTGTAACATCAATAATTTTTTATCTTGTTGTTCTTGATGTTTTTCCTTTTTGCTGACCTTCTTAATTTTTTGCGTATCTTCCGTTGATGCCAGACACTTCTTTGCAATTTCCTCCATATTCTTTGTTGTATCAGTCAATTGTTTCTGCTGGTTGCCAAGGACGCTTTCCATGCTAGACAACGTTTGGCTTATTTTTTGCATTTGCTCCAGCAGAGGGCGCAGTACCTCACTATCTTGCTGATTGACAGCTGGCTCCACAAGGCGGGGATTAGAGCTGGAACTTCCTCCTCTTCTTCAAGGGCTTCTCCGGCAACTTTTTCTGCCCCGACATCTTTGTTTTATTGTTTACTTTTTAAAAGTTTGTGTCACACAGCTTTAAATGGAATCTTTTTTCTTCACTATCAACAATTTCCCAAAAGGCAACTTTACTTTCAACAATTTCACCTCCCCCCCTTTTCCTGTTAATACAGCCTCTTTCTATTAAGGGGGAGGGCTTTCCACCCGCTTCCCTTATCCAGTCATCGGGGGGGTGCACTTAAAACGCTATTTTCTTTTCGATCGTCAACTCACAGTTGCAGCCGATAGTTTTCTTCATTTTCGCTCATTCGCTTCATCACTCTGTGAAGTCCCTGTGGCGTTGCTAGATCACTGCCGCGGCAGGGTCCATAGGGGCTTGGGGAGAGCCTCAATTTCCAGCCAATTAGGTCCGGTAAAGAGGCACTTCCCCGGTGCGCCCCGGCTTCAAAGCCTTTACCTAAGGCTCCTTAGGGTCTCCGCTAATGCGGATCCCCCCCTAACCGCACGTGGGCGAGACGACTCTGGGAGCCCCCCAAGAGTGTGTCCGCCATTCGCTCTGCCAAAACCGGAACCTGCAGGAGGCTTAATGTATTTTTAAAGTGCATGTTGTTGTGGACTTCAGCATACAGTGGGAAGAAGCCACTATAATATTTGGATTGCGGATGGAACTTCAGGTGCAGAACAGACCTTCTTGCGTGGGTTCTAACAGGATCTCTTTCTTTATTCCAGCAGGGGATGATCAGACGAATGAGGAGGATCGCGAACTGCATCTTGTATTGCCAGATGAAGTCAAGAATGAAGACTTGAGCGGAAACTTCAGAAACCAAGCTGGACCTAAGAGGCAGGAAAGAAGCCACATCATCCAGAAGAGGGGCAAACCCATTCCTTGCCAAGGGGGGGATTTCCAAGAAGGAATTCACACGGTGAAGGAAACATACAAGTGCTTGGTGGATGGAATGAGCTTCTCAGATCAATCCCAGTATAATATCCATGTACAAATGCACAGTAGAAAGAAGACCCATCGATGGCTGGAGTGTGGAAAGACCATGATTCGCAGAGCAGACCTCCTTAGACATCAAAGAACACATTTAGGAGAGAAACCTTATAGCTGCTTAGACTGTGGCAAGAGATTCTCAGATAAATCAGACTTTGTTCAACACCAAATGATTCATACAGGAGGGAAGCTATTTATTTGCTCAGGGAGTGGAATGAAGTTCTCTGTGGGAGGAAAAGGTAATATATGTTTTCCAAAGGACAGTGTAATGAATGCATGTAAATGCTTTTGGTGTGGAAACTACTTCAAATACAGATCACAGCTCCTTGTGCACCAAAGAATCCACAGAGGAGAGAAGCCTTTTAAATGCTCAGAATGTGAGAAGAGATTCAGTCGAAGGGGTAGTCTACATCAGCATCAAAGAACCCACACAGGGGAGAAACCTTTTGAATGCTCAGAGTGTGGGAAGAAATTCAGGCAGAGTAGCACTCTTCAAACCCATCTAAGAACCCACACAGGGGAGAA